AGACTCCACCTCAGAAAAAAAAAAAAGTAGTGTTTGCATGAATTTTAATTTATGAAGTCCACAGCTTCTTAAATGACTATAATTTCTATGGGCCAGTCTTTAAATAAAGGCCACACATGTTGTTCGTGGCTTGTTCCACGTGGCCCAACTAGAAGGTGATAGAAAGTGGAAGCTCTCCCTTTCATCAGGATAATCGTAACATATCACGCTAATGACTCACACATAGACTGAGTGATAGCAGACCCAGCAAAGCCTGCTGGGATTTTTGCTTAAGGTGTGACAAAGAGCTTGACCAGAAAAGCAGAAGGTAAACACCACAGCGTTGAGAGGGCACTGAAGGCAGGTCCAGGACCCTCTAGTCCCCTCTGGGCCGAGCAGCTATCACCTTTCTGGACTTTTCTGCCCTGTTTAGAATTGTATGAAAACAGCTGCCACCAGAGCACTCTGACGATCAGACACATGGCCAGGTGTCACAGCTGAGTTTCAGAAAGCATGGTTCATTTAAAGAAGCTGAAAATGTGATTTTTAAAAAGTAGCCATTTTTGTAGTTCTAACAAGCTCTGGTTTCAGCAATTCACACCTGGGCATGAAACCTTGGGGTTGCTCAGAAAGGCATCTTGCAAGACGGGAAAACAGCATCTTGCAAGATTCAAAGGCAGTGCAGCCCAGGACCTTGCTACTCAAAGTGCAACACAAGACCAGCAGTTAGTGACATCTGGGAAGTGCAGACCCTCAGGTCCCACGCTGGGCCTACTGAATCAGGACCAGCATTTGAACGGTGACTTGGGTGTACAGTGACATCTGGAAAACACTCCACTAGTGAAAAACAGCTTTGGTCTGTGAACATGTTCAACCAGCGATAAAGTGATCTTGGGCAAGTCCCTTTTCTGTGCTTTAATTTCCCCAGGTCTAAAGTGGGAATGATTCATCTCTGAAGACAGTGACACTGTATTCAAATGCCAAATTTGTAAGTACGTTTCAAGATGCTATAAGAAGTGCATGTAAAAAGTTGCAATGACAAATCTTCTTCGATAATAATGGTAGTCCTTTAATTTTTCCATGGCTAGAGAAGAAGCATTTTCTATAGCTGGGGTTGATGACTGGGGCTCCTTCAACTCACCCTCATTCCACATACCCTGACATACCTGGGTGTAAGTAATTCGCCAAGTTACTTTGAGTAAAAACCCTCAAGGAGACAATTCAATTTCCAAATGTAAATTCCAACAACACAGAGAGGGAACACTATTGCTACCAGTCCCCTGGTGAGAAATGAGGTTTCCTACAAAATGTGATTGTCTTTGACATTGTTGCTGTTCCTGTGAAGTGGTTTTTCAATGTTAAAAGAAGCCGTTTCTATTGGGAAAGGATTTGTTCATGTAAAGTTGAAAGTTTACGCTTGTTATGCATGAGTTCGAGGGAAGGAAGACAGAAATGATGTGGAAAGACACGAGTGTTCAATGTCATGTGGTTTTGAAGGGCTTGCTTCTGAGTCTTAATTATGATCTGTCATTTGTATGGAGTGTGAGGCTCCTGCCACGTGTGAGCGTGAGACGTGGGCCCACTGATATCTTTTCCACATGTATCCCCTTCACCTTAAAATAGTTCCTGCCATCAGTGAGGGATTCCACTCCCCAGAAGCTGAGTCTATGGGGTTCAGAATTTGATTTCAGGCAGAATAGCAAATTTGGATTCTAGATATTTTGCTACAAAGGCAAAGATTATGATGGTCAGACATGATCAGCCTCCTGTAAGCAAAAACAAGCAGGTAAAATCATTCTCAAAAAGGAGCACTCTACACATGATTTTCTTTCTTTATAAGAATACATTGATAGGAGATGAGATTCTCCTTGTAGCATTAAAACGAAATTCTGAGTATTCAGTCATTAATTCCATTGAGGTTTCCTTCTTTTTTTCTTTTTAACCTTTGAATGACTATGATATTTAGATGATACAGACTCAAATGGGGACAGTAAAGAGGTGACCAGGTGTACAGGGAAGAAACCTGAGGTCCAGCTTCACTTCTGAGTTCAGTAGACTCTGTGACCTTGAACCATCCCCTCCCCCGCCCCGGGGGAGGGGCTTTCCTCACTGGATCCCAGTTTCTTCATTTACAAAATGGGTAGAACTAGATTATTCCTTAACTCACAAATTTTACTATTTAAAGGGCAATTGGGTCCTTTAGTTTATGAAGGCCAGAGAGAGACACAGGTTCCTTCCGGTTCTAAATTTCTGCTGGCCACAGCCACCCCAATGAGTGGGCATGGATCCTCAGGGTTCCATCAGACATGGCACTGGGCAGACTGTTCTTGTAAGGGGGACACCCTTATAGGCACTGTGTTTACATGTCCTGCTGACCAGAGAAACTGTTCATTTGAGTCATTCCAAGATCCCATTTGGGTAGCTCGTCAGGTATAGAGGATAAGGCACAACAGTAGCAGACGACTTCCTGGAAAATTTTTCTGAGCACTAAGCACAAAACAATCTTTTGCATTGAATACTACCACACGTCAGCAGGCTGTGTTTTAATGATCTTAATTTTGTATTGACCAGAAGACACCATCAGATAGTGCCCTTCAAGGGAGACTTTAACTTGGGAGTGAGGGGGAGGCGTACATTCCAATTTGTGTCTTTGGCTCAGTGCCTCTCATTACACGTGAAGCACCTATTGGTCTCCCTCAGACTGTGCTCCATGCGGAACGGATCTTACTGCTTTCCATGTACATTCACACCTCCTGGGATATAGTGAGCGAGCACCCAAGGGTGGGTCTACAACAGGCAAAACCATCGTTTTAATAGACCCTAGGACAGTGTTGACACCAGGCTGTCACATCTCACTAGCTACTCTTACCTAGTGAAAGAATTCAAACCGAAGGTTCAAGAGCACACAACTGACATACGTACCTTATTTGATTTTCTTTGAATATCAACTGTCTAGTACAAGAATTACTTGAACTGATATATGTTAGTAAAATTTTATTTGTGTATTTTGTATAATTTTTTTTTTTTTTGGCCAATGTACCATAGTTTGTTCATGGTAACAGCAATGAGGTTCTCATGCCAAGCATTCCTTTTTTTATTACTTGAAACAGCATGAGGCTAAAAACCTAGCAAAAATAGAATTCAAAGTTTAAAATGACCATACCAACAGTACTGATAATCCAGTTTTGCACACTGACGTCTAAAATATGATCCTAAATGTTTAATTCTGGGCCATAACTGGGAAATCAATTACAGAAATTCTAAATTTCCAAAAAAAAAACCTCATAAAGTTTACATAGATAATTTTTTGTTTTTAAATACGTACCATAAATAACAAAATACTTAATAAAACAAAAGAGTGGAAAGTATAGAGAAGAGTAATTATGAGTTAATCAAATCAGACCAGTATGTACCCAAGTTACAATCATAAAACTTATAACACCTAGGAAATTATCATCGAAAGTTGATGGTGCTTGGTTGTTTTTTATTGTCTTTATTCTGAAAGCTGCACATTGTGCATCTGTTTTTATATAAATCTAAAATATGGTATCCATCCCATATGTCCATGTGGTAAAGTGATCAAGAAAAATATTTTCAGTACTTACCACCCCGGCCCCATTTTATAGGAAGCCCTGACTGTAGTAAATTCATGCTAATTGAGAACTCTAGGGAAGAGGTTAAAACATTACCCAGGTACAAGTCGGGTGGCCATTATAAATGTTACCCAAATAAAAGCCAGAAACAGGAAGCCAAAAAACAGGTCCCTGAGGCAGGCATGTGTCTTAAATGATATCATTTGTCAAGTTTCCAGTATCTTGTGGTGGTGAACACAAAAAGAAGGTCTGTGTTGTACCGAGGACATTACATCCTCATTAGCTAGAATGTTCCTCAAGTACATAATGCAGGATTTTCATTTTAATAAGAAGCAGCTACTTGTCACTGCACTTTCATTAGATAAATACTGAATGTAATACTAATGACCATTCACAGGGGCTCTGTTCTACTCCTGAGAAACTTCATCCAGATGAATTCATTTAATGACAATTTATAGAACATATCGTGCAAAACTTCCATTGTTTCTTTGCAAACTATCCCTGAAAAAAAAATTTTTTTAATGTTGAAATCAGTTAACAGCAATAATCATCAAAGGGACGCGAAATGATGCTGTTGGTATTTTTTGTCTGCAAAACAGGTTTGAAGGAATAGCATTTGGCTTTTTAGCATCACAACCAAATGGCAGCGGATGGTTGGGACTTCTTGGTCTCTCAAGAGGCAAGCTCTTTCCAGCCTGCCCGGCCGGTGACCTTAAGCCCAACATTCAGAGAAGGCCACACTGAGAACTGAGAAATAATTTATCCACTGGGATTGTTCCACCCTGGCCCCTTCTCTAAAACAAAGACTGACAATTGCCCTGAATTATGGATGTACTTTTTGTGATATGTAATACAGTTCAGAAGAAAGGTGTTGAGACCATCACACCATTTCACCTCCCATTAGAGCCTGGCCTTGAACAATAATCCCCGAAGATGAAACTGATGCTGAACTGTGACCCTCAATTTACAAATCATTTTTCAAAAGAATCAAAAAAAAAAAGTTTAAACATATTTTTGGCATTATCTGAATGGGCGGAATCTTTCATGCTTGTTTTCTAAGAATAAATGAAAACAGCATGCACTGTGCTTTCTTGGTGCGGAGAAAAAGAGAGCATGAGGTTTTCAGATTATATTTTATTTTAAACCTGGGTGTTTGAATTTTATTTTTACATAGCTGAATTTAGTATATTCCCTGAAAACATAATAAATTTCTATTCTGTAGCTTAAAGGATCCCTCCGTTAAAATGTTGGTCTTTCATCTTTATTACCCTCCCATTAAAATGAAAGAAACCGGGACACACTTGAGTTTAGAAGCAGCAATTTAGTGGATAATATCCTTACTCCCCAAGTCTTTTACAAAGGGAGAAAGTCCATTATTACTGCTTAGGTTTCACACATCTATCTGCATAAGAAGCAACTCGGCTTTCAGACATATACTATCGCCAATTTAATAATAGTCTTTGATTAGATTATTTTATTACAGCATTTTTCCATGACCAGTCATTTCCTGTGCCCAGTTACATTCATAAAACCTGTTCCCTCCCCCTCTTTGTTTGTTTGTGTATCAAAAAGCGAGGTAAAGTCTCCGTTTTGCTACAGCTGTTAGGTCTGAAAGGGACAGATTAATAACTAAGCACCACACTGGACGAGCTTTCCTTGTCCCCTGCACCAGTAACCCTTTGCTATAATGAGGACACAAAGAGCCTCGCATCAGGCGGCTACCCTTCTTCATAACTCAAAAGCGTCACAGTGGCAATAGCCTCTAGTGCTATTTGTCTTTAGTGCAGTTGTGACACTTCGGCATGATCCATAATTTGGCAGCTATTTACCGTGACATTTCCCTTCAGTGCAGCCATAACATTCAGTGAAGCCATTATTTGGTTCCATTTACCATATAAATTGTATTGTTGTGCATGCATGCTAGCAGCTACATTAGGTACCTGAAAATGAGTAAATCTTGTAAAATAGATACTAACAGCTATTCAGCGGCAGGATCTCCTCGCTCCTCAGATGGAGGGCAAGAAAAATTAAATATGGTCCGTAACTTTCCCAGAGCATCTTTAGTTGTGTTCATATTTATTGAGCATGTTAGAGACGCGGAAACCCAAGACTCTGAAAAAGAGGCTGGTGGGCTTCACCTTCAATTAGAAAGGTGCTGTGGGATTTCAGCATGGCGATGAAAGCTGCTGCCGTCTTGGGGGCACTGGAGGTTAAGAGGCAGGCAGATCAACTGCAGGCACCATCAGAGGAGAAGGTGCAGGCTTCTCCACTGTTCACGTGTGGTCGGTAGGTGAGTGTGTGACGTCAGGCAAGAGTGCCAAGGAGCGTCTCATCTCCCGGGAACACTTGGAGAAGTGAAATGGGAACCCAGAATCAAAGATAACATACACCTTCCGTGTCTGGAAGCTTCTGAGGAGAAGCAAATGTGTTATTATTGGTCTATATTTTTTGACGTGAACCCTCACTGTGAACGTAGCACATACTTTCCCCTTTCCTGTGCATATATTAATATTTGAAAGTACCCCTAATCATTGCAGTTTTCCTTTCCAAAACCTATATTCCATCTATGTAAGTTTTCAACACTCATTTGCTTCTTAGGAGGAGACAGACACTTTCCATTTCACATGAGCCTCACCAGGCTGACTGTAGACAAAAGCCATTCGGTGATACTTTAAAATATATGTGTTCATGGAATCATTTTTTGAATAACTTAACAAAATCAAATTTGGGGGAAAACTCCTCTAAATTTCTATTTAGTGATTTATAAAAAAAGGAGACCATTTCCTGAGGATATGAGTTCTGCAAATACATGGCTGGTTTTTGCTACATCTCTTGCTTAGGAATTCATTAGCATAAGACCAAATTCTCCCAAAGCAAAGAAGAATTTGTGTACTATTTTAAAAACTGATTTTAAAATCTCATCAAGCTGAAGACATACTGATTTGATCAGATCTTGCATCAGGAATTAATTTAGTTTCCTAGAACAATAAAACTTGGAATGAGACCATCCATGACTAAAGAATTGAATGTAAACGTTTTACCTCTTAGCCGTGGAGGGAAGTTTTATTAGCACTTTTTCCCCCAAGGGGAGGTGGGAGTAAAGAGAGAGAGAGAGAGAGAGAGACAGACACAGGGACATTGAAGGAGAAACCTATTCATTAACACCTTACTTTTGTTTTAAGAAATATTATATCCATTACCAACTAAAAATAAATTGATTTGAGTAATTCTGAGGCATAAAGTGCCCATTTTCTTTCTCCTTTGATTTATGTTATTGTTCTGTTTTTACAGCTTACTGTTGACAGAGTGAGGTAATTCAACTACAATTTTTCCAGTGTTTTTTCCCATGTACATATAATCGACAGCACGGAATATGGACTCCAGGCCAGTGAACTTGCCCTCCGGAGACCGATCTCCAAGGTCCACCTCACAGACCAGGTCTCCACTCGCACACATCTTAAGCAAGTGGCCCATGGCTTCTTTATACGTAGCGAGGTAATGGTTCAGGAAGAAGCCCTGGACGCTAGCAGATTTCTTCAGCAGTTTGGCTGGCAATGTTTCCGCTTTCACAGGCGAAAGGCCAGTAGGAGTTTGGTAGCCAGAGATAAACCCAATGACTATCAAGCGCCCTTTGGTAGCCAAGGCATCCACAGCCAAGTCAAATGTGGCTCCCCCAACAGATTCATAGACCACATCGACACCTCCCGGGTACTCCTGCTTAAGGACGGTACCCATGGGCTCGGTCTTATAGTTGATAGGACGATCACAGCCAAGAGATTTCAGAAAAGCACACTTTGCATCAGAAGAGCAGGTTCCAATTACATGGCACTTTGCCTTCTTTGAAAGCTGCACAGCAAACTGGCCCGTTCCCCCAGCTGCTGCTGTCACCAAAACTTTTTTCCCTTCTGACAGTTCTCCAAGCTCTTTCAGACTGATGTATGCGGTGGTGCCACTTACCAGCAGGGTGAGATACTCAGGTTTCACCGAGGGCACTGGTGTTGCGATGTTGGCAGGCACAACTGTGTACTCAGCAAAAGAGCCAGGTGCCATGTAAGCCACAGCTTGGCCAACTGTGTATCTGGCACTAGCAGAGAGGCCTAAGGCTACCACCTCACCGATGCCTTCGAAGCCTATGTCCATGGGGGGCTTTACCGAAGGGTCGTAGCGGCCAGCTGAATAGTTGATGTCAGATGCATTAACACCAACAAATCTAGAACAAACAAACAAGCAAATATATTACGATGGCGGCTTTGGTGTTGTTGTTAGGCCTTTACAGTCTGCTTTAAGAAAATTCCTTTAATTCCAGTGACGGTGGAGGGGTTGCTAAGCTATACAATCTGATAGAATTTGAGAAAATGAGTCTCACTGTTTAGATGGAAAAAAGAAATTAAACAAGTATTAGTTCAACAGTGATTTGCACTCAGTTTTGGTATATTTTATTCTTTTGTCAGTTTAGGAATAATTTCACGTCATTTTAAACAGCAAGTTATTTATTTCACATGTCATTTATTTCCATCCTTTTTCTTTCAAAAGGAGAAATAAGAAAGAAAAAAAAAGTCAGGACGCCCTCACCATATACAAACTTCACCAGGGCTATGAGTTGGAAATTAATTGGCCTCTTAACAAAGATGTTAAAAACAACACTGGGATAAAATATATTCAAAGAAGTAGACTTGTATTGATTCTGGCAACAATTTAACACTTAAGATAATAATAGTAATGACAATGATATTATTAAAGATTGATGGAATGTGCGAGGTCACTGGTTGCTACATGCTCCTGCAGGGGCTGTTTGAAGCACTGCTGCTACACATTTTCTTTGTGATGTAACTATGTCCATTGCGAAAATACGTATTTTGATTAATTGAACAAAAACTGGGGAGAGCGATTTTTATGAAACCTTCAACATTTTACAGTTCTCTTCAGATGAAAAGGAAAGCAAATCGTCACTATATTTTTTCCTCAACAAGAAGCAGAGACATAAGTTGATTAATACCAGATGATTATTTTCATTTTAGTATCCAGAGTCAATTTAATTGTGAAGCCAGTATTTTTCCCGGCTTTTTAAAATCTCGGTACATACCTCATAACAAAAATATCCTGATGCATAGGGGGGAAAAAGCCATAGACTAAGAATGTCAGGAGGTGGCTCAGACACATAATGGAAGACCCTAAAAATGTCATTTCCACCTGTAATAGGATGAAAAGGTGGTAGGGTCTGGTGGCAGGAGGAAAGCTGTTAAGCAGACCATTTAAAAATAATTCACTCTTAATTTAACTTAAACCAAAACTGCCCTGTGTGAGGGTACACTTTCCCTGGAATATAGATAATAAAATACTTTCTACTTATAAATGCTCCCTTATGATGCGGCCCTGCACGTCTAAGGTATGGACAAGTCTGCGTATTGTAGCAAGAAGGACGCGGGAAACGATTTCTTTCCTTACGTCAAACTGCATTCGGACCTCAGCACACACACAGCCTCCCTATCGCGCTCCACAATTCCATGCCCATAAATGATACGCAGTACTGAGAAGAGGGAAAAATGATTTTTGCTGGTTTCTCATTTGGCATTTAATACCAAGATGCCTACATTCTATTTTTAGAGAAGGACCTGCCATCTTGCTTTTAAATTTACATGATTCCCAAGGCCTGGTGTCTGTAAAAAGGGTCGGTTTCCTCTGAGCTTGCTTCTGGACTTCCCAGAGCAGCGCCCAGCTGGAGCCTGTCTCGGGCCCCAGCCTTGGGCGGTAAAGCAAACTCCAGGAAGGGGGCCCGTGGGGTGGAAGTGATGGAGGGTTTGTTTTAGAGGTGGGGGGACTGGGGCCCACACACTGCCAGTTCTGTTCTCTCTGCTCTTTTGCCCACGATTAACCCTTCCACTGCCCTTGCTCCTCCGGCGGCTTGTCCCCCTGGCGCCTCAGCAGTCGCGACTGGAGGGGCTGCTCCTCCGAGGGCGCACCTCGGGTTTGGAGGGGGCTCCGCCTGCGGAGTCCTCTCCCGTCCAAACGGGCGCGCCTGGGGACCTCTGCAGGAGAAAAGCGCAACTTCCCCCCTCCCCGCCCAGGCTGTGGTTTGCCGCTTCCCTGGAAGAGGTGGAGAGCGCCAGCAGGGCACACGCCCCAAGAAGAGCTGGACCGGTTACCAAAGGCCAAGTTTGGGAGGAGGGGGAGTGGGGCTCTGCTGGGAGTTGGGGTGGTTGCAGCCGGCCAGCGGCAGTTTGAGCATTCAGGGGGCTTTGATTGAAAAGCTCACAGCAAACATCCTGGTGATCAGCTGCAGAGATGGAGCGGTGGCGGCAGATCCACAGAGCGCGCGCGCCCCGTCCAGGCTCCGGCCGGCTCACTGGCTCCCTTCGCCCTCGGCCACCGGGCCATCCTGTGGGACGCCTTAGGAGGGTGCCTCCGGGCCCGTCCCCCTCGGAAGTGCCTGGCCACCGCTGTCAGCCCGACCCCAACGGTCCTGCGGCCTCCTCACCGCCACCACGGAGAGGGGCGATCAAGAACCCCGACTCCCAGCGCCGACTGCGGCCTCGCCGGCCGGGCGCCAGAGTGGAGCGGCCGCTGCCCAGGCCTGTGGCCGTGACCTCTGCCTCCCCGGAATGGGCAGGAATCCCAGCGGGCGCGCCCCGCCTCACCCCTGAGTCCCTGCGCTGGCCGCCGAGAGACGGCCCGGGGTGGACAAGTTTTCTCCGAGTTCCCAGCGCGAGGCGCGTAGGACGCAGCGGCCGCCAGACAGGGCCCGCCGGCGGCCTGACCGTGACCTTGGCTTCGCACGCACCCCCATTTCTCACTCTCGCCCCCCTCCCCCACCACGCCCT